GAGCAAAAAAGAAATCACTACATTGAAGAAATTGTTAAGTAGTGAGTTTGAGATGAAGGATCTTGGTGCTGCTAAGAAAATTCTAGGTATGAAGATTACAAGAGACAGAAATTCTAGTTTGTTATTTCTTAGTCAGCAAAATTACATTAAGAAAGTTCTTCATCATTTCAACATGCATGATGCAAAGTCTGTTAGTACTCCTATTGCTCCTCATTTTAAATTATCAGCTTTACAATGTGCTAGTACGGATGAGGATTTTGAGTACATGTCAAGAGTTCCATATTCTAGTGTTGTTGGTTCTTTGATGTATGCCATGGTTTGCTCTCGTCCTTATTTATCATATGCTATGAGTTTAGTTAGTAGATACATGGCTAATCCTGGTAAAGAAGATTGGAAGACTGTTCAATGGATTTTTAGGTACCTTCGTGACACAACAAATGCTTGTTTAAAGTTTGACAAGACTGATAAGGGACTCACTGGCTACATGGATTCAGATTTTGCTGCCGATTTGGATAAGAGGAGATCTCTCACAGGTTATGTGTTCACTATTGGTGGTTGTGCTGTGAGTTGGAGGGTAACATTGCAGCACGTTGTTGCCCTATCTACCACTGAAGCAGAATACATGGCTGTTGCTGAAGCATATAAAGAATCGGTTTGGTTGAAAGGTTTGTTTGTTGAGCTTTGTGGAGATGATTCTTGCATTAATTTGTTTTGTGACAGTCAAAGTGCTATATGTCTCACTAAAGATCAGATGTTCCATGAGAGAACGAAGCACATTGATGTCAAATACCATTATGTTCGCGATGTTGTCGCGCAAGGTAAGCTAAAGGTATGTAAGATAAGCACACATGATAATCCCGCTGATATGCTGATAAAGCCAGTTCCTTTTGCTAAGTTTGAGCTTTGCTCAAGCTTAGTTGGTATAACTATTTAGCCCAAGAGGCTATTGGACACACAAGTATTTCTTTGTTGTTTTAGGGTGAAGGTTCGTTTTATACTACAAGAAAGAATTTATCTCAAGGTGGAGTTTGTTGAATTATGATCCAAATTCAATTATGTACAAGATAAATGCTAACTTCTGACGGAGCGAAGCGAGGCCCGTCGTCGGGAGGCTTGGGCCGCGCCTATTAGGGTTTTTCCATCTCTATATATACTTCCTGTAAGCCGTCGTCTTGGGATAAGAAAAGTTATAAATCCTCGATGTTTGTAACCTCACCTGATATAGTGAAGATTTACTGGATAGTGTTCGTGGTTTTTTCCTTCTTCTTTGAGATATTTTTTCACGTTAAAATCTCGTGTCACATATGTTTAATCTACTACTATTTTTTATTATTTATATTGCCTATCGTTCTAACAGCGAGTACAAAGGTGGATGGGTGTCCGGTCGAATTCGGGCCTGTGGTCCAACATCAGTACATGCCACTAGTATATTCGCTAATAAAATGATGGTTTGTGGTCCAAACTTGAGGACTCCTTTAGTCCTTTGCAATGTCACTCGTTTGGTTGTTCACGACTCACGTGAAGCAGCATAGTCTGCATGTGTCCAGTAGTACTCTTTCATTCAGTAGTAATCTTGTTTTTTTAAAGTTAGTTGCTTGTTTGGTTTGTATTTTTTGTTGGTCAAATCAAACTGAAGGCTTGATAAAATGTGGCCTAAAAATTGATATTTAGTTTTTGACGAAGCCAAAATCTAGTGCAGTAAAAAAATGTTTGGATAAGCATGATATGTGGGGACCATATGCCATTGTTTTTTTCTTCAAGTAAATATGGTCTTGTGGGATCTTACTTGGTAGATAAAATCATAGGAAATATTATAGTGAAAATAAATTAAACATCTAGATATTAGCAATTGAAGCTCGATTATTCAAAACTTTGGAACTCTGTTCATGCAAATCAAAACGTACTACTCCAAACATGAGTAGTGACAGTGGTCCACACACACATGCGCTGAAAAAGGTACAACACTGACAAAAGCCCTGCATGGTGACTAGTGCTCACCTCTCCCTCCCCTCGCGTCACTTTAGTGTGGATTTTCTCGTCCTTTCAAAATGTAATATCTCCCAAACCACAAGTTCGTTTGACTAACCGTTTGAAAATTATTGATGGAAATAATGTGCCGAACAAAATGAGACCTATTGAGACTACGTTTTGACATTTTTTTCAAATGTGGGGCCTACGTTTTGACATTAGCACCTGAATTTAGAGTAGGTTGATTTTAACTCACAAAAAGCACCAATTTTTGCTGCATGCAATGCTTTATTTGACTGCTGAAAGTGACGTCAGGAGAGAGATGGGGCCAGGATTCTCTGACTTGCTGCAGTAAAGTCACATGTGACTTTCCATCGTCTGAACGCCATCTGTTTCCCATCCAACGGTTGGAAAGCTCTTCACTTTATTAGTGCTAGCCAGGATGCAAATAACAGCCCATCCAAAGTCTAGTTCGCAGACGGAGCGGGGATAGTTGGTAGATTTTTCTTTTTTCTGTGCGGTTTATCTTTTCAAAACTTTTACATATGAGCTTGGATAAATATAAATTTTATAAGAAAATTGCAGTCTTAAAAAATATATAACTATAGTATATGAACTTTTCATTTAAAATCATTTTATGTGAATAAATTGCCTCAAATTATCTACCATTACCAGAAAATTATATTTTTTATATAATCTCAGATGTAGATAAAATTTAAAATAATCCTACTTCTCAATAATATCTATAACCTTTTAGTTTCATAATATATTGATCAACAAATATTTTTGTAACATCCTGAAAAGTCAAATTCAAAATCACCCGTACTCAAAATTATTTCAAAATTTATTTCGAAACTATAAATCATTTTAGCTCTATTTTAATCTTGTTTTCAACTCATGTCTACCTCATATATCCGTCCCGGTCCTCTCACCCAGACATAAATCATGCACACTGTAGCGACAGTACCCTACTTGTGGCAAAAGTGTACAACCTTTACGGAGTGTATAGTCTATCTAGATAGTCGTGTCCGCGGTCTCGGATGAGTAAGATTATTTTACAAATTTTATCTTCATCCGTGATTATTTAAAAAAATATAACTTTTGAAGTGCTATGTAACGGTAGTTAATTTGAGGCAATTTCACACAAAACGATTTTAAATGGAAAGGTCGTATACTATAGTTATTGATATTTTTTAAGATTACAATTTTCATATAAATTTTATATTTATCGAAGCTCATATGTAAAAGTTTTGAAAAGATAAGCTGCAAAGAAAAATGAAAAATATGCCAACTAATCCTGCTCCGTCCGCTGTTATTTGCATCCTGGCTAGCACCAATAAGTGAAGAGCTTTCCAACCGTTGGATGAGAAATGAATGATATCAAGGTGATGGAAAGTCACATGTGACTTTACTAAAGCAAGTTAGAGAATCCACGCCAAGTAAAAACTACTCATTCTAGCTTTTTTAATATATAGTTTTTACTATGTATATAAAGCATAACAAAAAAATATATCTTCAACACTATAAAAGACCGAGTTGTTTTTGAGGGGTCTCTCTATAATAACTGTTCGATCTACACATCGTGCTATATGAGCCATTCGTCATCCATGATCTTTACATGTAAGAGATAAAACTCCTCCTAAACTAAGATTCAAACTCACATACATCTCGCGGTACGTCTATAATCCCAGCCGCTATAAGTCACGTTTATTTTAGGTACATGAGTCAAATACGACTTCCATCCTTGACCTAAACCTTCTTCTTTTTTTTCTTGGACTGCTAAAGGGACGTCAAAAGATCACACCAGTTTTTGCTTTACATGTCGTTACGAATGCATGCATGCAACTAACAAATAAATTACGTGCACAAGATGGATTAGGCCTGTTCGGGCAAGTGTGCATCGACAGCCGGTGTCGCAGGTCGCTCGCTCGCCGCTGCTGTGCAGGGCGCGCCACCGTGCAGCAGGTAAGCAAACTGCCGCTGTCGCAGGCCGCTCGCTCGCCGGCGCTGTGCAGGACGTGCCGCCGTGCAGCAGGGAGGCAAGCCGCTGCTGCTGCAGGTCGCTCGCCCAGGCCGCCCAAACTTGCATTGTGTAAGATGGTTTCTACAGATGATTTTTTGCTGACGTAGTTGTTATAAAAACCGTGCATAGTTTCAACCATTGGGACTTGCCGGCATAGCTTTAAGTCTAGCCCCATGTATGTTTTAGCAATTATGTGTTTCTAATTAATATCCAATAAAAAAATATGATCATTAGAATCGTTTTTTCTCTCCATAAGTGTCCTAGATTATATGGTTTTGTTGCCTGATATATGCGGATGACGCCGATCCATGCAGGTCCAAGTCATACAGCAGGTTATATTATCCTTGCTTACTCCAAAAGTAACTTAGATTACTCTGTCATGTATGGTTTAGTTGTCGAATATTGTAATTAAGTTTCAAGTTTACTTCTATTTATTTATATATAAAAGCAATTACATATATGGAACATCATATTTAATAATTATAAACACGTGTGTGTGCCGCACATGCATCGCTAGTACTATAAAAGAGCGAAGGAATTAAAAATAGGCTCTCACCCTGATATTCCTACCCACCTTAATTCTTGTCCATTAGATGTACATTAAAATCAGATCCAACACATTTAAATAATCCACCGTGATCTGACAAGCGGACCCGGCCGAAAAACTTGTAAACGTTTACGCGTGTTTCTCTCTTGCCGATGACTTGGTTTGGACTTTTTTCTCACCCTCCTCCACCCCTACCGACCCGTCATACTCACGCACTGATCCACTCTGCGGCAACCGCCCGTCGTACCCATGCCACGTGCATGCCCGTCATTTCGCGAAGGGTTCCCATAACGGGCGCCCACCTCCAATCTGTCACCGCTACTCTTTATAAAGGAGACTACGCGTACGTCCGCGCCGCCATCATCTGATCACCTCAACAATTCATCTCCCATCGCCGCGAACCGCTAGGTCGGCCGGAGAGCAAAGCGATCGAGGCAAGCAAGCGCGTAGCCGCCGACAAAGATGCAGATCTTCGTGAAGACGCTGACGGGGAAGACAATCACGCTGGAGATCAAGAGCAGCGACACCGTCGACAATGTCAAGGCCAAGATCCAGGACAAGGAAGGTGATCCATCCATTGTCTCCTTGATCTCTCTTCCAACCTTTTTCTTGTTTATTAGATCGATTAACTACCCTTCCAATTTGCCCAAAGTAGACATTGTTGACTGCCTTGCTTGCTTGGATTTTAATCTGCATGCAGGCATCCCGCCGGACCAGCAGCAGCTCATCTTCGCCGGGAAGCTAGCACCTAGATGACGGCCGCACCCTTGCCTTGCCGACTACAACATCCAGAAGGAGTCCACTCTGCACCTGGTCCTCCACCTCCGCGCGCGGCGGCGGCGGCCGTGGCAGCTACCCCACCATGCGTGTGCCGTGGGACCTCATCAACCTGCCAGCAAAAACAATGAGAGCAAGATGATCTGCCGCAAGTATGTGTAACCGCTGCCTGGTCCTTATCATCTACTCATCTGTTTAACCTGCTATGTAATTAGCAATATAATTTGCCGCTCAACGCATGATACGGACTGCTAAATTGGCTTCAATGTAGTGGACTGGACACCATGCATGTGCTAGATTATTTTGTTTCATACATATACTGCAATCAACACAGATTGAAAATGTGTAGTTTTATATCTTGATATACATTTTCATAATGTTAGATTTTTTCGATTTTGTACATCTAATACTCTTTGTTTTGCAGGACTGGGTAAAATTTACCCTGCTACCTAATCTATTTACTCTGAATGTTCTAAAAAATAAATACTCTTTATTACTATAAAGGAGGGAAGGAATTGAAAAATACCTGTCACCTAAAAACATTGTACCCATTTAAGATCCCCTTCCATAATTATAAACACATCATGTTATTCATAAAAAAAACTCATTGACTTTACTCACTCTTTTTGCTAATAAACTTTGAATTGATTATTCATGAATCTTTCTTTAATCAGATTTCCGATGAAAACCGGGGACCACTCCACACCATAGAGAACGAGAGCAGACAAGAACATGGAGCGGAAGTATCACAAGGAGATAGGTGGAGATGACAAGAATGAATCCAAAGTCCTCCGTAAAAGTGTTTCAAATTTAAAATTTAGTGATTGTGTATATATTTTTCTAACCACATAGAATTCTTCGTATCAAAGACAATTCATGAGATTTTCTTTCTTGTAAACAATTTTTTTATAGACACGTGCGTGTCGCACGTACATGTCCACTAGTACGTAGAAAAGCTTAAAATAAATTATAATTTGGAACAGATGAAGTATTATATAGATTTTGTAAATAATTCACGTTACATGAATCTTTTCATGTCCCTATAATCATAGTGAACATACAAGGCGATCGCAGCTAATAATCTAAACTATCACTGGGTGACATGCCAAGCTGCACGTCCTTGTGGTCGGTAAACCTTGTTGAGTACTTTTCTTCACAATGTATGAAGCCCGTAAAATCGAAATTGACCTAAATCCATGACCTTGACGTCTAAGGAGAAAAAAGGCATGCATTATTATGATGTGGGTCTTCTTTCTTTATTAAACTTACTCTGGATGCATTCCCTTCGAGGATGGCCTTTACTCGGGCTAGACCTCGTTCCGGTCTTACACTCCCTCGAGTCTAATCTCTAGAGAGCGCTTAGGTAGGTCATGTTTCCTATTGACTTGCTCTTTCTTGACCTATTTCCTGTTGACTTGCTCTTTCTTAGCCTTTTAAGTGAGTTCTAGCTTGAGCTGACATAGTTTGTTCCCTTACTTTAGCTTGTATGGGATGGGGGAGAATCCATACAGAATGGATGAGGAATTGGGGTAGGGAAAGAGAAGGTAACATGTATGAAAGGATCAAGATGCCCAAGAGGGGGGGTCAATTGGGTTAATTCTAAAATTCTTTGCAATAATTAAATCCTACACATAGCCCACTTCACCCCTTGTGCCTAAAATGTGTTTCTAATGTCCTACCGTACAAAAGTTTTGCACTCTAAGTTCCAATCCTACTCTAGCATAGCAATTCTATGAATGTAAATACAAGAATTGAATTGCTTAAAGTAAATGTTTAAAGTAAAGAGAGAAGGAGGAACACGGCGATGTTTTGCCGAGGTATCGGAGAGTCGCCACTCCCCACTAGTCCTCGTTGGAGCACCCGCACAAGGGTGTAGCTCCCCCTTGATCCGCGTAAGGATCAAGTGCTCTCTACGGGTTGATTCTTTGACACTCCGTCGCAGTGAATCACCCACAACCGCTCACAACTTGAGTTGGGTCATCCACAAGCTCCGCCAGATGATCATCAAGCTCCCAATCACCACCAAGGCGTCTAGGTGATAGCGATCACCAAGAGTAACAAGCATGAACTCTCACTTGACCACGACAAGCCTAATGAGAAGGGTGGATACACACTTTGCTACTCTTGCTTTCACTAATGAGGCCTCTCTCTTGGATTCTCAAATCTCAATCACCTCACTAGGATCTTGCTCTCCTTAGCACTCTCAAGGGTGTTTCTTAGTTGTTGAAATGAGCAAAAGTGGTCCCTTGAGTGAATAAAGGAAGTATTTATAACCCCTTATTCAAAACGAACCATTATGTGCCACTGCGGGGTGACCAGACGCTCCGGTCAAGGTGACCGGACGCTCCGGTCAGTTCTCCCCGCGACCGAGCAGTTAAGTTGTGACCGGACACAGACCAGTGTCCGGTCAGCACTGATCGGACACGTCCGATCACAGAAACTGCCCTCTGGAACCTTACTGATGTTGACCGAACTCTGGCACCTAGCGTGCGGTCACTTTGCTGCTCAGCGTCCGGATAGTAGCCGGAACCTGACCAGCGTCCGGTCAGCACTGACTGGACACGTCCGATCAGGATTCTCCCTCTCTGGAACCTTACTGGAGTTGACCGGACTCTAGCACCCAGCGTCCGGTCACATTTCACTCAGCGTTCGGTTGCATCCAGACGACTTCACCTTGATCAAATGAACTGACCAGACTCTGTGCCAGCGTTCGGTCACACCGGAACCAGAGTCCGGTCAACATTTGACCCTCCATTCAGTTCTAACTCGCAATTATATGTGAATGAAGTTTGTTGCAATTGATCTTAGGGCTATTTAGGAGCTACCTAGTGCTAGATTTGACAAGTGTGCACCACACCTAACCCACTAGACTCACCTAGGTCAAGCTACCCATCCATACCCCCCTTTATAGTATGGCCAAAGGAAAAAACAAAGTCCTAAACTACTCTAAGTGTCTCTTTAACACCAAATGACACTTAGAACTAGTCCATCCTTAACCTTGTCGTCCATCCTTTGAAAACCGAAACGATTTCCATCGTAGGGGCATGACAACCATGATTGCCCAATCAATTGCCATTACTATGACCTAACTTAATTGCATCTATAAAACACACGTTAATCACAGTAATCTCGTATTATCATTAATCACCGAAACCCAACTAGGGGCCTATATGCTTTCAATCTCCCCCTTTTTGGTGATTGATGACAATACAACCTCGAGTATGTAAAAGAGATGAGGTTTTCAACATGCTTGGTTCATATAAGCTTTTGACAATAAGAACAAAAGAGTTAGGCAAGCTTATATAACCCAAGCCAATATGATGTACTCAATAGATATGAAATAAGCATGAGTACAAGTAATAAAGCTCATTTGCATCGGAGTAAAACCGTGGAAGCAAAACAAATGAGTATAATAAAGTGACATGACATATAAATAATTTAAAGTAGAGAGCACACATGGCACATATCACATAAATATCACATCACGTAGATATCACGATTACGATCACACTTATGTAGTTCAATGCATAAAACTAAACATGAATGCATAATAAGTATCACACATAAAAAGCCCAAATGTAAATAAATAAGCTCCCCCTAGATATGTCGCTCCCCCTAAGTCTATCATACTCGATCCCTCTCCCCCTTTGGCGTCAAACACCAAAACCTAAGGGTCTGTCGTCGGGGCTGCAGTGGACGAGTCAGGCACTAAGGTGCGATGAGCGATCTGGAACTAGGCAGCATCATCATTTGATCCTAAGCTTTGAGTTGTATGACCCTCTGTCCCTAGAAGTGATGCTGAAGCGGTTTGGGTCAGATTTGGTACTGGTGCGGCCTATGACTCTACAGGTATCACTGAAGTAGGCGGCTCTGATGATGCAACCGAAGAAGGGAGCGTCTCTGTAGTCCCAGTGATAGGAGCAATTGTGGAAGGACCAGGGACATGTGGATCTAGCATAGTAGGCTGCCCTATTAACTCATTGAACGTCGCACCAAGGCTCCTGGAGACTGGGGTATCTGGCACAAGCAACGACAAACTCTGAGCCGGTGTGAAGCCTGTATGAAGAGGTGTGAACTGCGGGGCTGGCACTAGCGAGGCAAACCACTAGAACACCTGCTCTGTAGGTGAAGGAAACTGTGTCGCTGACAGTCCCTGAGTCTGAAGCCCACTGGGCTGTAGAACTAGAGTCATAGAAGTGGTGGCAGGCTGGCCGATCTTGGGTGAAGGCTGTGGCGGTGGAGCCCCAATAGCAGTAACTACATGCTGCATAAATCCAAGTAACTGCTGCTACATGAGGAGCTGTTGCTGCATGGCCTGCTGCTGCTGCTGTATAGCCTACTGCTATCGTTGGAACTCGTCCAGTCTGGCCTAAAACTGTGCAAAAGTAGCGGAGATCTCCTGGAACTGACGAGCCTGATCCTGCCTCATCCGCTCAAGTATAGCAAGGAGAGCTAGGTCTGTTTACGGTGCAGGTGGAGCTAAACTGGAGCTACCGCCCTCATGGTCATGTCGTTGAGGAGGCATCTGAGGGATATCCTAGTAGTCATCATCTGAACTGTCGCTGGGGTTGCTCTCGACCATACCCTCCTACAAAGCATCTAACTGTTCCTCCTCTATCACTGTAATGCCCCTGATAGTCTCATCCTGCTGGGTTGTAGTCTCTGGCACCTCTAGGCGATGGCGTGGCTGGCTAGGTGCACTCGGCCTGCTGTGACGGAGCATCTGGGTCATGTTATGGGCTGGAAACTCTGTAGTAGCACTAGAATACTCTGCCAACATCTCTAGAGGCCTCACTGTAATTGCCATGTGAATCAAAAATGTAATCCAATGAGCATAAGGTAGCTGACGATGACTTCTGAATCCCTCTGCAAGGGTGTCCTCTATCTCTAATAGTATGAGATCCCAAATATCAAACACAGTCTGCTGCATCAGAGAGTTCAGTAGCCATAATTGAATGCGAGTCAAGCCCTCACGATAT